TATTTATTTATTTAGTATACAATGTTCTGTCTGTATGCCTACAGGCCAGAAGAGGGCGCCAGACCTCATTACAGATGGTTGTGAGCCACCATGTGGTTGCTGGGAATTGAACTCAGGACCTTTGGACGAGCAGGCAATGCTCTTAACCACTGAGCCATCTCTCCAGCCCGAGAAATCCTTTTTTAAACCTTTACTATTGACATGATTTTTATGAAAATTTGAGGCTTCCAGCACTCTTCCTATTAATAACTGACCAATTCTATGACCATAGAGAAGGAAAATCCGGAACACACTGAGAACCAAAGTATAGAAAGCACTTTATTGCAGTGTTAGTTTCTTTTCTCATTGCTTTGACAAAATCTAGCAATAAGCAACTTAAGTGAGGAACATTCATTTTGGCTCACAGTTTGAAGGTCCAGTCAAATCATTAAAGGGAACTCACAGTGGGAGGAACATGAGACAGCCAGTCATACTGAATCCAGAGTCCAGAAAAAGAAAGAAGGAAGTTGGTGACAGCGCTGTTTCTCCCCTTATTCAGTCCTGGAATCTGGACCATGGATGGTGCCTCCCGCACTTAGGGTCTTCCCATCTTAGTTAAGCCAATATAGAAGCCTCCTCTCAGACAGTCCCCGAGATATGACTCCTGGGAGAATCTAGAACCTGTCCAGTTGACAAGGCCTGTCCTTCCTGTAAGTCCCACCTTATGGCTAAGGGTGAGTCATTTCTAAGATACAATTTGAGTCTTTGTCTAGTTTTCTGTCCTTTCTATAGTCCTATCAAGAAAGTAAAGGTGTATTATACTACCAAGTACTTATTGAATGCTTGGGCTAAGTTTTCAGTTGCTGTTTGCTGCATCTTACTTTTATTAGAAACAGTCACTGTGTTGTGTAGTCTCATGCCTAAGTAACTGAAGCCTGACCTAAGACAATGATGAAAGAGAAAGAAAGACCTGGAGGTGCTGTGGCAGATGTCTTACATATATGTAACTTGGTACTTGAATAGAGGGGAAGCTAAAACATAACCCCTTTATCATTGTTAATGAAAACCCAGTTACTTGTGAAGAATCTAGTGCTATTATGACATTGCCATTTGTGGCAGTGGTAAGTAACAATATTTTTCATAAATTGCTTTTATTAGAAATTGAAATTTAGTCTTTTGCCAACTTTATTTTCTAGCTAGATCAGGGCATTATAGCAAGTTATTTTCAAAAGGAAAAAAGTCACATGAAGAGTTTAATCAATTTTATTCTATGAAACAGTAAAATCATTCTTTAATTCTGAATGCTCTACTAAAAGGTCTCATTTTTCTACTAAATCATTCCATACACAATTACCTATTCTTTAATGCTAAACTCCTGACTCCATACCAAAGTATTTCAGCACTTGGGACAATTCATGCTGCCCTTGTAATTACAGGCACATTTTTTTTTAGGGAGTGTATGGAATTTTAATGGTGATTTTAAACTCTCTATAGTCAAGTCACTATAGGAATTATAACTTCCAGAATATGTGTGTGTGAATATGTGCAAATGCATGCACATATGCATGCACATGTATACATGTGTGTGATCTTTCGACTAAATGCTAAAGTATTGATAAACATATTTTCATTGCAGTTTAAGTGATGCATACTAAGCAATATAGAAATTATAAGATTTTTAAATTTCTACAATTTGCCGTGCAAAACGTAAAAGCTTGTTAAGTGATTCTGACTGTGGCCCAGTATGAAATGTGTTCCACAATAGTATCTCAGAACAGACTTTAGAGGGAGTACTATAAATGTACTATTGTGAGCACCAAAGTCAGGCTGTCTGCTTCGAACCCCAGCTCTTCCCGTAACTGCATGTCACGCTGCCCTATTTCTTCTCTCACTGTCTTTATTTACATGGAGGATGATAAGATTATTCGTGCTCACAGGGATGGTGAGAGGATCAAGGGCATTATGATGCATACAGCGTTAAAATAGCACTCAGCACACAGTGAGAACTATGTAATCATTCTCCATTAAAATCTTTTAAATGTGGCATATTTAGTTTTAATGGTTATCTCTTTCATTAGTTTGTTTTCAGGTAGTTATACAATCTCAGAAAAGTAGATTTCAGTCACCGAGTTTAGTCTCTTCTACATAGTCATTTTGATCTTTGAAGCATTTCAGAACTAACATATCTGACCTTTCTAAAATAATCAGCAAAACTTCTTTCCATACTCCAGTGCAAGGTGCACTACTAATAACACAAACCCTGAAATCACAAAACCAGAGGTATCATTTGGTGATAGACGCTGCCATTGCTAGAAAACAAGATTTCATCAGTAGATGGGATGAGGAATTAATAGCTTAAATTTTTAAACAAACAATATTATTTTAGACTATAGGATATTTTAAGATGCTATATCACATGAACAGTGTATTTTCCAATAAAAATCCTGAAATCCATTTGCTTGATGTGACGCCATCCCTCAGCTTTCATTACTCTTGGAGAGAAAACTCCCCCTCTTCACTTTATGTACAATAATATTATTGGAAGCCTTAATAATAGATATCCATCCAAGTCTTAAGCTAAGTATCCATTTCATTTGGTGTTTTGTGCTTTTTAATTTAAAGTTTTCATAGATTAATAAACCTTTCCTAAGTGACTCCTGTACTTACATCATTTCTATTCATCCTTCCTCTAATTTCTATCATATCTCCCCCCTACTCCCTCTCATGCTCATGACCTTGGCTATAATTTTCTTTGTTTCACAGAGAGAGAGAGAGAGAGAGAGAGAGAGAGAGAGAGAGAGAGAGAGAGAGAAGAGGAGAGGAGAGGAGAGGAGAGGAGAGGAGAGCAGAGGAGAGGAGAGGAGAGGAGAGGAGAGGAGAGGAGAGGAGAGGAGAGGAGAGGAGAGGGAGAAAACTGAGTCCATTTAATGATGTTATTATGTACATGTGTTTAGAGTCAACCACCCTTTTCAAGATTGGATAATTTATCACTGGCCACATCCCTAGGGGAAGAAGATGGATTATTCCTTTCTTGCAGTCATTGATTGCTGTAGCTGTCCTCTAGAGACAAGGCCTTCTGAAATTTCCCTTATCTGCTCCGTCATGTCAACAGGTGTTATCATTACTTAGGTCTTGTTTAGGAGACCACAACATCGAGATTTCCTAGTTGCGGCATCTCGCTCCTATCTAGAAGGCACAGCTCAGCGTAAAGACAAAGGCTCCCGTTTCTAAACGTGTTTTATACTTTTGCACTGTGTCTTTCTTTTACCCCTCTGGCACTCAATAACATTGATAGCAGCATCGGCATGACAGGAAGAGAAAAACCATACTTGTAAAAAGCATTACTGAGCTGTTTTTCAGAGCCTATTACAAAGCCATAGCTTCAGCCTCACAGTACTTTGTCATAAGGGACATGAGTTACATGTGTCTACATCCATGGCCATAGTTGCCGAAGCTTGATTAATACAGTACTTCTTAACTGCATTTTATTCTCCATGACTTAAAGCACAGTTGTTACATATCTGTCAACCTGAGTGTGAAATAGAGCAAAAGGCACTATTAATAATGCCTTACGTGTCCTGAAAAAAAAAGTAGCCTTTGTTAAATGCCACCATCTTACTAACTGTTCTCACCACTTTAATTCTGAGCATCTCTTGAAAATTACTACTGCTTATACATTTTATGTGGGTACCTGGTGAAGGTTTATTGGATAAATGGTAGAAATCCACTCACAGAAATGGCAGTTGTCTCCCTACAAGTGGTTAAGATATTCCTCTGCCAGGTTTTACTCACAAGTGTCTAGCGTTTGGGGAAGGAATAGATGGATAATCCAAAATATAGTAGACTACTGCACTTCAGATATATTCATTAAACACTAAACTAATGATTAAAAACATATTAAGGTATTTGTTCATTTCAAAATTGGTTGTTTTTGATTTTGGTTTCTTTTGGATTTGGATTTTTTAATTGAATGATTTGCAAAATGAAGGTCTGGTCTTTATCCTGCCTTTGTTGTTGTTAATGTCTGAAATGGTTTTTACACTCTCTCTGTAACAAAATGGTCTTATCTAATTGTTTTTATTATTTCACTTTGTCCTTGGATTCCATATTGAATGCCTACCTGTATGTTATTTACTTAGTACAAAATGCCAGGGTAGCAATAATTAGATTCCTCAGCTAGGATAGTATGACGTTTGGACTTAAACTGTGTGTAATATCACTCCTGAGTGTTTCCTTTTTCCTTATTCCTTCTCCCTCAACTGATGTGTTAAAGATGACGGAAGATATCTTTCCTATTTGCCACATCATCAAGATGTGTCCATCCAACTTGTCCTCTGTTTCTACTGTGAACTGATATGGCTGATGTCACCTAAATACCTCTAAGACACCCACGAGTCCAAAGGACTTGTGGGGATATTTAGTTGACATTCTCTCTCTGTCTCATGTAGTTCCATCTGATAGCTTTATAGGAAAGAAATTAGAAAACTAAAACCTACTTTCAGATGGGCAGGATGCTCCCCTTTGCTCCAGCCCAGTGAGTGACAGGAGAATACAGCTACTGTAGCCCTCCTCCCAATAATCAAATTTCTTGATAGAGAAATGAACATGTTTTTTATGTAACTCATGAATTTTTGGCAAGCTTTATAAAGACTAAATCAATGCTAAATCAGAGGTATTTACAACACCCACAAATTTAATCCAAAGAGGATACTTAAAAGCTCATATAGATCTAAATGATGTTCCCCCAGATGGTGAATTAATGTGATTTTAGCAGGAAGGAAAGTTGCACAAATATGCAGTATTGAGGCCTCGCACTGATTTAATGTATCTGAAGCCACCACAGCACAGATGTTGCTTATCACATTGGTGCCAGTTGCTTGTCTCTCTCTCTCCACTACAAAGGGAAGAATGGGATTTGGGAGCTCAGGAAAACATGCTTCGTTTTCTTACTAATAATTTGTCAGTAATTGAAGCTTTTGGTGACTCTTATATCGAAATGATTTTTGTTATGTTCTTTTCAGGGTTTGAAAGGTGACTTGGGTCCTCAAGGTCCACCTGGCCCAAAAGGAGAAAAGGTACTGTATCTACCCCTGAGTGTCCCGACCTTGTTTTAAGACCCACCTCCCCAGAAACTGACTGTTTGTAGACCGCATCTAGTTGCACAAACATCTTTTTTATTATTTATTTATTTATTTATTAACGATTTCTGCATCCTCCCCGCCACCGCCTCCCATTTCCCTCTTCCTCCCCCGATCAAGTTCCCCTCCCTCGTCAGCCCAAAGAGCAATCAGAGTTCCCTGCCCTGTGGGAAGTCTAAGGACCACCCACCTCCATCCAGGTCTAGTAAAGTGAGCATCCAAACTGCCTAGGCTCCCACAAAGCCAGTACGTGCAGTAGGATCAAAACCCCATTGCCATTGTTCTTGAGTTCTCAGTAGTCCTCATTGTCCGCTATGTTCAGCGAGTCCGGTTTTATCCCAGGCTTTTTCAGACCCGGGCCACAAACATCTTGAGATTAATGGAAGGCTGTTATATGAAAATCCTCTAAGCAAGGAAAGCCTTTTGGTTGCTTTAGTGTGAGAGACTGTGTGTGCCGCCATAGCTGACATTAACACACGTGTGAAACCTCCTGTTTCTCACCTTTGCTTGACAGCATGAGGTGTCCCAACACCACATTAGCAAAGGTGTCCTATGTCAGGAAACTCAGCCAACAACTCCAAGCTGTCACCTTAATGATCAGGCAGGAGGCTTTGGAGGGAAGGAAGCTAACGTCATGCCTCAGCCTTATATTAAATGCTCCATTTCTTGTGTACCACTTTATAAAAGGAGTTTGGCAGTGGCCTCTCAGTGAGAGCTAACAAATATTAAAGGAAAGGGTTGTGTTGAGTAAGGTAAGTTAGCAACCCTGATTTCATGGGAGTTGTGCATTCTGCATTTTATTGTCCATGGTCAACAGATGCAGAATTCCTTGTCCATCTTACATATTTCTCTTTGAACTAGAGATGATGTCACAGAGCAATTTTTAGAGACTGATTTTAGTTCCTTAACAACTGTTATTTTAGTGAAATTGTTGCGAAAATAATGAATATACAATGCTATGTCTTAAAACTAGAGATAATTGTGTTTAATGAGAAGAAGAAAAAACCTTGATATAATTGGCATGACAGACCCATGGCACGCTCTACAGGAACATGGACTCCATAATGTCCTAGGCAACAAAAATCACAGGAAAAAACACCCAGGCCTAATGACAGCATTCTCATAAATGAGTAGAGCCCCTGAGACAGAAAAACACTGCAGTAACACATCATGAGCTAGTGGACACTTTTTCAAAACCTTTGTTTTTAAACCGGGTCTCACGATGTAGCCCTGGCTCGCCTGAAATTTGCTATGTCAATTAGCCTAGCCTTAAAAATCATATATATCCTCCTGCCTCTGCCTTTCTAGAGCTGGGAATTAAAGTGTACACCACTCTCACTATAGACAGCGTTTTCAAAGACTTTTTAATAGCCAACACACATGTCTGGATTCATGTAGGTCAACAAAGCTATCCTAGCCCTGGAAAACACTCAGATGGAGGAAAAGCCTCTGAATGCCCCAGACACGAGTGGTGCCTACTAAGCAGAACCTAGGAGAGGTGGTGGGAACTGTTCCTTGCAGCTGGAAGGCACGGGGGGGGGGGACCCACTTATTATTTCTGCTGATGCTCATGCTAACTTTGTCAGAAAAATTATCTGTCGCTATGACGCTTCCCAGCTGCTCTGTTGGCAAGTAACCGTATTTGGAAAGATAATTTTTTCCTAATTTTGGATTCATAGTCAAAAGAATAGAAAACTAGATTATTTTAGTTTTTCAAAACACGTTTTGCTACCGCAGAAAGCACAAGGGCACACAAGGCGATTTTTATATCATAAACCCTAAGGGGAACATGATAAAGCTCTCATTATGTAGAAAATTTTATCAAGAAAAAAATCTATTTTTATGTCTTTTCAGATTATGAATTTTGTGGTAGGGAAATGTGGGAGTCTGGGAGGAACTGGGAAGTGTGGGAAAAAGATGATCAAAATATATCATATGAAATTCTTAAAGAATAAGTAAAGACATAAAAAAGATTTATCTGTATGTATTGCTTCTTTCCAGAAACTGAAATAATGTGTAGAAAGGTGCTGATGGTAATTGCAACTTTTCTCTCACCTATTTTAGGGTGATATGGGACCTCCAGGGCCACCAGCCTCAACTGTAAGTAATCTTAAACCAAAATAAATAAAGAAATAAAATGTTCTATTTGCTAACCATACTAGCAAATACAATTTAAGCCATGTAGTATTACAGGAATTGATAGTGAAATCAGAATATGACTAGCAAACCTTCTCCTTTTACAGATGGGATTCTTCCCTGAACAGTGAAGAACTTAACCCAAAGTCTTAAGATTATTTCCCACAGGAGTCTGTAATCAGTACCTACCTCAAACAATTCTCTACATCCTTACCATGGTTAATACCATGGCTCTGTGTTTGATTGCACATTCTTTTGTAATAAAATATGTGAGTAAATGGGAATAGAAAGTTCTACTTAGTCTAAAAGTTCTAAAAGTAACACCAGACGTAACCATCCAGTAAGGAGAACATATAGCTCCTCTCCTCCCTTTTCTTTTATTCTCCCCACCCAACCAGTTAACATGGTATCACTACTGAGCACCACTGGCTCACCCAGAACTCGGGAACTCAGTATGTTGCCTAGGCTGGCTTTGAACTCATAGAGACCTGCCTGCCTCTGCCTGCTAAGTGCTGTGGTTAAAGGTGTGTCCCATGATGTCTAGCCAACAGCTACACTTTCCCACTGATAGTTACTTTGCCCCCAAACCTGCCAGAGGGTATTGTTATTTTCCCATGATTCCTTGTAAGAATTGCAAATGATAAAATGGCAAAAGATTCATAAGAAAATGTAATAATGCACACATGATAGAATAGTTATCAATTAAATATCTCATCATTTCTTAAGCACTTAATCATAAATATGCAAAATATTTCCATTTAGGTACAACTTATTTTCTACATAGAGCATTAAAGATTCTTGTTTAACTTAAGAAATACTCTAAGCTTAATGGAAAAGAAGAAGGCTTTTTTGTTTTACTTTTTTAAGATTTATTTATTTATTTATTTATTATACAGTGTTTTGTCTATCTGTATGCTTGCTGGCCAGAAGAGGGTGGCTGTGAGCCACCATGTGGTTGCTGGGAATTGAACTCAGGACCCCTGGAAGAGCAGTCAGTGCTCTTAACCTCTGAGCCATCTCTCCATCCCAAGAAGGCTTTTTTAAAGATCAAGTGTAGGTTTGTCAAATTTTGTGTTGATATTATGGGTGATATAAATGAAGCATTAAAGTCACTAATATTCGAGGACCCCTGATGATGGTAGAAAGTCAGGGATTGTAAGGATGTCTCCCAACACTCTGGATGAAGCATTGCTGTCTGTAGAGCACAGGAATTTGAGGAGTTTTGATTTTATACATGTGTAATTTTTTTAGAAGCTGAACACACCAAACGGAATGATAGTAATATCTTGCTCACATTTTCCAACTGGCATTTAAAGAAAAGTTATTTCTTGGTATACAAGAAACTCAAGAAGCCAAAAAAGGGTCTTACTTAAGAATAGTCAGATTCTTTAAGGTTTTTCTTTTCAAAGTGGAACAAAATGACTTTGAAAGGAACTTTTACATTTTGGAATTAAAATTTATTTGGCTTCATTTAGAGTTAGGCTTGCTTATCTGTGCAAGGCATGGCTGCTGTGCTGCAGCTAATTCCACTACTTCACTCAGTCATTTGATTTCCTAGTCATTTTCAACTTGTGTTTGAAGGCTGACATGTGATCTTTATCACTTCACTTGAAATGGAATTTTGGAGTCTCACCTGGGAAATTGTATAGGATTCTATATTCCTTGTGCCTGTTTCATAGCAGCTAAAGCCCTTCTGCTAAGGAACACCCCATGGTGGTCTCTGCCATTCATCTAGGATGCACTTACGGAGATTAAGATAAGATATTTTTGCTTTGTGGTATCTAATGATATGGCAAATCCAAGTCCCAATGAAAAGTGTTGCATTTTAAAAAATGAAATAATAATGTTATGTGGGTATTGTTATTTGATAGGCTTGCCATTAATTCGTTTTCTTATGTAGACAATTAACCGTCATCTATAAATAGGGGTGAATTGAGGTTAATATCAACCTACAAGCTCTAAATATTTAATTCGTCTTATAATGCAGGTTAATATTTTATTTATTGAAGTAACTGATACCAGTCTTTCAGGAAGCCAAAATGACTAACTGTTCTATAATATATTAAACAAGACAAATACATCAAAGAATTCATCCATAATAGTTCCCAAAACCAGCTGCTCACTAAAATCCCCCAGAAAGCTTTAGCAAATTCCAGCATTGGGCCTCCATTCCCCACAAATTCTAATTTAATAAGTTTAATGTGGAACCAGTACATTTTTAAAGCCCCACAAGTCAAGCTAAATATGAAAATGGAGTGAAAAACCGTTGTTTATAAAAACTGTAGTGAAACAAGCTTTGTTTTTGCCCGCAATTTAAAAAAAAAAAATGTTGGAGTACTCTGGTTTTGAAATTCGACTTACGGAACAGCAATTAAGAAATATCTCTATCTTGGGGAACCACCTTGGCAAAAATCAAGATACAAAATGGCGTGATTAAGTAGAGGGGGTTAGGTCTAGGAACACCTTTCAATTACAACTTTAATCCAACGATTCCAATATGCCTGCTGGGTTAGATGCCTTAATGCATCTCGAAATTTAAAGTGCGCAGAAGCCCCCCAGGGAATCTTATTCAAGTGCATGTTTTTATTCTGTAAGTGTGGGGCTGAGACTAGAAATTATAGATTCTCAGTAAGTACCTACTTGAAAGCTGAAGGTACCCCCGGTCTATGGCTCCAACAAAGCTTAATGCTCTTTCTGGCTCAGGTCAGTGGCTCTCCATCTTTACTTCACATTCAAATCACCGCAGGCACTTTTTGAAAAGATGTAACTTTTAGGCTATCGTCTATACCAAGAAGTTAGAACCTCTTGGAAAAAAAAAACTATGCAGTCAGAGGTTAAATTTTCCTAAGGCAACTCCTACATAGTTTGAGAGCCATGGTCTTGAAAGCACACCTAGCGATTTCGGCAACTTCCTCTTGAAATTCTGGAACAAACGTTTTGGAGTCACCTCTTAGTATTTGTATAAGAAATGACTAGCATGATCACTTTAGAGACTTCTGGGAGAGACTCGACCCTTCAGTAATATCTAATATTTGGTCCTGATGACTTCATTGTGAAGGATAAACTTCAAACTACATATTTGCAATCTACTGGCAAGTCCAACAGGGATTTTTCTATTTCCTAAGCAAATCCACAAGTGTTGATAATTCCAAGTCATAGAGTACTAAGGACTATCCGAGTTTACACTGTTGAGCTGGGTAAGGAGAGTGAAAAGGCTGGATTATTTTCCTCACTTAAACCATATTACTTACTCATTTTGATTTAACATAAAGATTTTTTTAACAATGAATGAAGAAAAATAACAATTGAGCATAATTTCTTTGCATGCAGGAAGTTTGTGCAGGGCTAAGTTTATTGCAGTTATTTATCCCCGTGAATCATTGTGCTTTGGCTATTGGCTCAAGTAAAACCACATTGTAAATAATTAAAAACAGTATCCAAAACCATCTATTCTCATTGACAGTATTTTTATTTCTTATTTGGACTTTTCTAACTTCTCACATATAACTATAACTGGGTCTCAGTGAAGAAAGATGATAAAGGAGGGACAGGAGCCAAATTTGCAAGAAAAAGAGAAAAGCTGGTGCAATGGAACGAAGGACAGAACCCTGGAAGCAGATTCGCCAGAGAAGCCCAATTGCAGCAGTTCTTATGCTCTCGGCCACCCGCAGCCACCGACTGTTTCTCCTTGTACAGGACGCCTTAGAAAATAGGGAGGACAGGGCTGACAAGATTGACCAAAATGGCACTGCTGTTTCCACAGACATTCTATGCCAAATTCATTCTTGACTTAGTGAACATAGTTCATGTTCAGATTCCAGAGTTGAATCCCTATGATAACATTTGGCTTCTGTAGGTTCATCTTCACAGATCATACAGACAGAACTCCAAAGTTACCATGTGAGAGGAGAAATAGTTACCCAAAACCAAATAGACAAACAAAAAAATCAGGATGTGGAGGAAGAGAAAGAAGGCCAACAAGGAAGGAAGAAAAAGAAGAGAAGGAAGAAAGGATAAAAGGAAGGAGGAGAGAGGGAGAAAGGAAAAAAGGAATAATCTGGGAACTAAAAGCATAAAGATGAGTTACCCCCCATGTCTCTTCTATCCTTAACCTTTAATTATTCTGTCAGTCTCCTTGGCTTTACAAATCTGAATGATGACTTTGGACATTATGTGAATAAAGTTTCAAACCTTCCCAGATGCCTTATTTAAAGCTTTCCCAGATTATTCTAAATAACAAAACATTAAAGAATAACCTCAAGAACAACCCAGTAAATCTGAGAGTGAAACAATCTGCAAAACCTTGCCCAAGAATCTTCTCTAAATACTTAAACACAAAGGAAAGTTACTCTCCCTTCTTCAACACCTATCAACTAACAGTATGTCCTCAGATAGGTCTCCATAGTCCTTGTCCCTCCACAATAAGAAAAAATTGATATTATAATTTATAATTACATCATTTGTTCCCTTCCCTTTCCTCCCTCAAAACCTCCCATATACACATACTTGCTTTCTTTCTAATTTATGACCTCTTTTTTCATTAACTGTTGTTTATACACACACACACATATATATATTATATATTAAATATATAGGTACGCCGGGCGGTGGTGGCACACGCCTTTAATCCCAGCACTCGGGAGGCAGAGGCAGGCGGATCTCTGTGAGTTTGAGGCCAGCCTGGTCTACAAGAGCTAGGTCCAGGAATGCTCCAAAACCACAGAGAAACCCTGACTCAAAAAAAAAATTAAATAAATAAAAAAAATAAAAAATAAATATATAGGTACAACCTGACCAAAGAGAGCAATAGACATAATAACATGAATAGAAGAAAACTCAAGAGGCCTCAGTCCTACACAAAAAACTACAGGCAGCTGAAGAATACTGAGAATGGGAGAAATGATCTTCACTAGAAGAAAGCACACCAATTGGTTGTCCAGTACTAAATGGTCAACCTTGAAAAT